CATTCCGATCACCAATGATTATCAATATAACTTGATTGCATGTTTGATCAGTTTCAGAATGAAGAAATTAATAGATTTCTTGCTCACTAATTTTTTAATTTACATTTTCATTTATTGATTTTTAATAAATCATTTTATTGGGGGCTCTTACAGATCTTATAACAATCCATACATCAATTGTATCAAGCAAATTTGTACATATGTTGCCATCATCATCATAGATTTGAACAATAATTGCATTATAGATAATATCCCATCACAGACAACATTGTACTTCAAGATAGATCGTGAAATATTTTTTTGGCAACAAATGCAACACCATTCTTTTAAAAAATGTTCTTTTCCAACATAAAACCTTATGACTGTCTGATTCAAAATGGTCAGTTACAGTCTATTTTAGTTCACTGTTGCCTAGGATATCTATCTTTATATGTTCTATTTTACTTTTGATGATTTTTAATATTCTTAGGATCATACTTCCAACATTCCGTGTTCTGATTATTAATAAGTTGTTCTTATCATTTTGAGTCATGCCCTGTCAGCAAATGGAGTTCCTGAAGGTTTTACTCCATCTCCATTATGATGGTTAGCTTATCTTTTTCAGGTATGCTTTGAGTGCCTTCCGACCTGAATCATCTTCTTGTATTATATCTGACAGTGTTCTGTTCCCATTCATAAGGTTTTCAGTATATCTGACAAAGTTCTGCTATTCATAAGACTTTCAATGGCTAATCTCTTTGAAGTGACAGCCTATTTCTTAGTCGTGAAGCTCCACTTGTTCACCTTGGGTGACCCTACTGATATTTTACATTTGATGACATAGCGTCCAGCATTACAGGAATATGCAAATCACTGCAGTAGGACAAACTGATGGACAAGTGGTGGCTCATCAACTACAGGTTGAAAATAATTCAACTGCACAATATTTTTATAATTATTATAATATCTCTTTACTTGTAAGAGGAAGCAAGGTTTTAATAACACTTCCCTATAGCCCAATTGTGGTTATAACAGAGGTTATATTACTGAATGACTTACTTAATATTGCATAAGGTGAACCAATCACAGAAGGAAAGATACTGTATAAGACAATTATTATAAAGAGTGAAGAAAAGTTTAACACACAGAAAGAAACCTTTTAGTGATGTTTACTAGTTTGGAGAGTAAAAGGAAGAATAAATCAGTAACTCATGAGTAAACGTGTATTAAGGGTAAAGGGAAAGGCAGTACAAGTATTGAGGAGGTCAGCACAGCATGACTAGTGGTACAGAAAATCACGGTGAGTACACAGAATAGAAGACAACAAAGGTAAGTGCTATTATACACACAGTCTTGCAGGATTAGTAGTAGTATGTACAAGAAGATACAGAAGAAGACTGCAAGCTGAACATGTAGATGAATGGGAGTACACTCAATGACTATATATAGATTTGACAGCATATGAGTGGACTTCAAAAGTTTTGTGGAAAAATTGCATTGCATTTTAATATAAATTTCTCATTGAACTTTTGAAGCCTCTTTTTTCAACATAAACATTTATTTGTGCTTGCTTTAAATATATTCAAGGATATTACAAAGCTCACAAGGGTGAATTTTCTGAAAAATTCTTAGCTCTAACCATATACTCTGAAGAAATGACTTACTTGGCTTGGGGACTTAGGACTAGAGTCTCAGAAGTCAATTAGGCCAGTTGACATAGCAGTTTACCAAGACAGTATTCTACATGCTGTATCAGTAAATATCGATTGGAGTTGTAATACGCTTGTGAGTGATCATCTAATATGAAACTATTGATCTCCTTTTTCTGGAGCAAAGATAAGTAAAGGAAATCAAAGATCCAAGGAAACAAATAATGCATAGTACTAATGGGAGACGTTTTCCCGGTGCTCTGTAAAACTAAATGATGCCAGCTATCACTCCTAATCACTTTGATTAGGATAACAATAGAATATTCGAGACATAAACCAAGCAAAAATCCATCAACAATGACCAAAACCGATAGATTTCAATGTAGTAGAAAGCAGAGAATATTAAAAAATTAGAATAAATTCTCACTGAGTCCATGGGGATATCATATTACAGGGCATCACATTCTATCCTAAGACAGTTGCACCCCATTTGATTTTTGGGGGGGTTATTGTATTTTGCGTATTGGGGATTTCCTGGAGGCTATCCCATATAGTGTTTCCCTAGTCTTCTGTAGGTATCTGTCTAGAAAGCTTGAGCTTGATGGAAATACAGAGATAATAATGAGATTGATTATTACTGGGGGACATGGAGGGAAAGGGCAGAGGGGAGTCAATATCAGAGGGGGAATAATCTACTAAAATGGATTGTGACAATGACTACACAGCCCCTCTTGATATGATTGAACCATTGAACTGTATGATAATTACAGATAAAAAAAATTCTAAAAGAAAGTTCTAGAACAGAAGAAAAATTGTATAGACAAAAATGTTTTAATTATAAGAAGACCAAACTTCCTCATTTAATAGACTAGTGGAACCTTTGAGACTGTGGCTCTTAGATACCCTTTAAACTTGGAATTGAACATACTTTCATGAATTAACTTTCACCAAACACTAGACAGGCCTAAAAAGTGAATTAAGTAACAGTAGGAGACAATATGCTCAGTACAGTCAACCAGACAAGACTACAGTTGTAGCATTTGCCCAGAGAGCAGGAAGGGGAGTAGAGGGCAAATGGAAGTGGGGAACTCAGGATAATAAAAAACTCACTGTCATTGAGTCAGTGCTGACCCATAGCAAGTCCCCACCCCACCCCACCCCCTTTTTGGTTTCCAGCACTGTAACTGTTTACAGGAGTAGAAAGCCCAGTCTTCTCCAAAGGAGCTGCTGGTGGTTTTGAACTTCTGACCATGAGGATCACAGCCTAACTTGTAACCACTTATACCATACCAGAGCTCTTATGACAAACTTTAGGCAATTCTGAATCATACCGACCATATAGGACAAAGTGGAATGTGCTCCTGTGGGTTTACTCCATGGGAGCTCTAATGAGGGGGTTGTAATCAATGTTATAAAACAACACGTATAGAATTTTTTGAATGGAAAACTTATTTTGCTCACTATTCTTTCCCCCAAGTTACAAAAATAAAATAATAGAGTGGAAATGTCAATAAGAAAAATGAAATTGATTTTAAATTAAAATGAATTTCTTATTGTCTAATTGTGGAAACAAGTGAAACTTTAAAATGGTAAGGATACGGGAATCCAGGACGGATGAGCCCTATAGGACCAGTGGTATGAGTGGCAAAACAGGGAGGGTAAAGGGAGAATGGGTAGGAAAGAGGGAACCGATTACATGGAACTGTGTGTGACCTCCTCCCTGGGTGACAGACAATCAAAAAGTGGATGAAGGGAGACGTCGGACAGGGCAAGATATGACAAAATACCCATTTATAAACTATCAGCGGCTCATGGGGAGGGGGGAGCGGGGAGGGAGGGGAAAAATGACCTAATGTCGGGGGTTTAAATGGAGAGAAAATGTTTTGAGAAACGATGTACAAATGCGCCTTACACAATTGATGTGTGTATGGATTGGGATAACAGTTGTATGAGCCCCCAATAAAATGATTTTTTTTAAAGAAAAAAAAAATAAAATAAAATGGTAAGGATAATATAAAATGTGTGTTGGCTTTTGTTCTTTCACTATTATTACCATATATACTCGAGTATTAGCCAACTCGAATATCAGCTGAGGCACCTACTTTTACCACAAAAACTGCATTAAAAATGTGCTGAAAAACTCGGCTTATACACAAGTATATACGGCAATATTACTTATTATTTTATAATAAAGTAGCATTTCACTGAAAGATGAAGCAATAATGCTTTTAAAAATCTATACCCCTTTGTGTTAGGCCAGGTTGACTAGAGAAACAAATCCTGAGACCCTCATATATGTGTAAGAGAGAGCTTTATATTGAGAAATAATTATATATATCAAGCAAACATTTCAGCCCAGTCTAGATCAAGTCTGTAAGTCCAATAGTAGTCAGAAGTCTGATATTACTCCATAAGTCACTCTTCAAACTCACACAGCCAGCCATATGCAATGATGCAGAATGCAGGAAAATCATAGGGGTGGATGTAAAGGCTTGTGGCTCTAATGGCAGTGGAAGCATCACAAAACTTCTGGCAGGTCTCAGCCGTGTGGCTCACCAACAGGAAGATGAAGCAGAAATAGGAAGTTCCCAGAATCCTCATGAGAAGGCCATGCCCACAGGGAGGTATCATCAGGCTATGTTCTGATTGACAGTCTAGACTCTACCCCTTATTTATCAAGTTGAAATGAAATTATGTAATTACCATGCCCTTCCTCACCATATATTTATTTTACCTCTCCTATCCTTTTCTTACAACACATTTTTAAAAAGATAATAATTATAAATTAGAGGAAATATTTGATCCTGGGCTTTCAGACCATTCATATAAACACAAGCAGTATGATGTTTACAGAACTTTAATTTGGTGTTGATGTGTGAAGAATAGAAGAGAAGCATGTATTCTAACGGGACTCCCACCCTACTTATCTTTATGGTGGGATCTACTATAACTACAACAGATGTAATCCTATGAATCCCTTTATCTTCTAACATTTGCTGTCACTTTGTTCAGTGTTTTTTTTGTCTCTGGGCTCACCCCATTACTATTTTCGTACTTCTTAATCTACCACTCATTAGTTATGGGTGCTTTGAGTTTTATCTCACTTTTTTCCTATCTGGTGTTGAAGGTTATATTTATAAAATATTAAGTATACAGATAGTCTTAGCTAGTTTTCATTATAATATTTTTACTCTTTTTTTCTTAAACCATAGCAGTAGAGAAAATAAATACTTGCATTCAATTTACACCGGAAACCAATCTCTAAACAAGTGAAACAACTATTGCTTATATAATAGGAAATTGCTGTAAACTGTCAGTTTCATTAAAAATACACTAAGATTCATACATTGTTATTATTTTCCTTATTTCTAGGGAACTGGAGAATTGATGATCTGATAGTGAGAAGTCAAGAAAACCAGGATGAACATTTTTGGCAATTTTTATTCAGCACCAACAAAACATTAAGTAAAGAAAGTGGAAATACAGCATTGGAAACTTTCAACTTGAGTATAAACCCTGTTCCTTCAAGAAATAATACCTATAGAATATGTGAGTCATGTGAAATGAATTTCGAAAACATTTCAGGCTTAATTATTAATGAAAAGAACTCTTCAGAAAAGAAGCTTGATGAGTTTAATGTATGTGAGAAATTGCTCCAGGGTAGACATGAGGAAATTTTTACTGGAGTAAAATTTTATAATCAAGAGAGGAATACCCTCAATCAAAGAATAGCTCTCACTCAGCCAATTTTTGGTTTTTTGGAGTTTAATGAAAATGAAAAAGATTTCCATGAGCAGGCAGCCTTTACATATAAGGGGGCTCAGATAGAGGAGACAGTATCTAAATATAATGAATGTGAAGGACGAGCCTTCTTCCAAAATTCAAATACATCTCAAAGAACTCATTTGGATATGGATCCATATGAGTGCAGTATTTGTGGGAAGCCTTTGTATATGGAGTTAAGATTTAGACATCAGAGAGGTCTTATAGAGGTAAGTCCTTATGAATATAATGAATACAGAAAAATCTTGGGTGACAATTCAACTTTCATTATTCATCAGGGAGCTTACATGAGAAAGATTGACCATGAGTATAAAGTAAGTGACAAAACTTGGAAAAAGTCAACCCTCTTTAAACATCCAGTAGTCCAAATGGAAGAAAAATCCTATGAATACAATGAAAATGGGAATAATTTCAGCAAGAAATCACACCTCGCCCAAATTCGGAGAACAGCTCATTCAGGAGAAAAAGCCTTTGAATGTGGAGAATGTGGAAAAACATTCTGGGAGAAGTCTAATCTTACTCAGCACCAGAGAACACATACAGGAGAGAAACCCTATGAATGTACCGAATGTGGGAAGTCATTTTGCCAGAAACCACACCTTACCAATCATCAGCGAACACATACAGGAGAAAAGCCCTATGAATGTAAGCAATGTGGGAAAACCTTCTGTGTGAAGTCAAACCTCACTGAACATCAAAGAACACACACAGGGGAGAAACCCTACGAATGTAATGCATGTGGTAAATCCTTCTGCCACAGGTCAGCTCTAATTGTGCACCAGAGGACACATACAGGTGAGAAACCTTTTAAGTGTAATGAATGTGGCAAATCTTTCTGTGTGAAGTCAAATCTCATTGTACATCAAAGAACTCACACAGGGGAAAAACCCTATAAATGTAATGAGTGTGGGAAAACCTTCTGTGAAAAATCAGCTCTCACTAAACATCAAAGAACCCACACAGGAGAGAAACCCTATGAATGTAATGAATGTGGGAAAACTTTTAGCCAGAGGTCAGTACTTACTAAACATCAGAGGATTCACTCAAGGATGAAAACCATCTCAGCATCCTGAATATCCACTTGGCTAAAATTTGTTTTACACTTTGTAAAGTGTAAAGAAACCCAAAGAGTGCCACAGATTAATCAGAAATGACATATTTCAGTAACTCAATTGATACTAAGTTAAAAACCAAAGCCTTCAAGGTAAAGTAAAATGTAATCTTTTTTTTTTTTTTTACTGAGGCAAATTAATATTTATCTAAAATTTGTATTTATAGTACTCAATTCCAGAAGTGATAACAAAATTTTATTTTAAATATATATACTCATTCACATTAGAATATGAAGCTTTAAAAAACTTGAATGACCACTGCGTTATACATGTGTGGAGAGTCCTTAGTATTTGTAGGTCTCTGGAGTATTCAAATACAACAACTTTGGGTTTTGCTTAATTTGTATATTCGGACCGGAGAAAGGAGTATGGACACTATATCTGACTTCTCTGGCTTCACTAGGGAGAAGGATAATCCAGTTCTACACTAATCTAGGGCATATTTCATATGGTAGAACTCAAACTCTCCATCTTTTTTACCCTTTTCTGACACCCAGCCATTCCTCCCGCAACACTCAACTTTGCTGGGTTTGATAATTCATTCCACTGGCCACACAGAACTCTCAGACACTACTCAGAATTATGTGGTGTATTCGGGAAGTTAACAGGTTGCCACCAGCAAGAATCAGAAAACAAAGCTACAGCAGTGTATCTCCTCAGCCAGTCATCCAGTCTGTCTCTCTGGTCCTCAGCCTCTCGGTCATGTGTTCCCTGGACCTCTGCCTTTGTGAGCCAGGAAGCCAGCATGCTGACCTGCTTCACAGGATCAATCTTGGTGTTGCTCTGCTCTCTCATGGTGTCCTTGCCTCTGCCTTTGGTCTTGACCTGGCATGGTGTTTTCTGCCTCTGCCACTTGAAACCTCAAATTTGCTTTGATAGTGCCTCTTCCTCCTTGATGGTTCTGGGAATTCTCTCTCTAATAAGGGAAATGGTAACCCAAACAGGCAAATCCCCTTTATTAGTGTGTCACACCATCTATTTGCATAGTTCTACTCAATCATTTGGTTGAAGTTTCAGATACCTGAATAGAAGAGCAGTGTTAAGAAATTTAGTACCTATTGTGATATATGTTAATATTTCTCACGCTAAATGCCATTAGTGTCTTCGGTGTTATGTAATTATATACATATATGTATACATATTTATACCTACACATATAAAGTTAAATGCTAGCATCACTTACCAAGTTAGTATCATCTAGTCAATTTTGATTCACAGTGACGACTGTATAGGGCAGAGAACTGTCCCTGTGGGTTTCTGAGACTAGAAATCTTCATGGGAGTGGAGAGTGCAGAGCAGTTTTTGGTTTCAAACTGTTGACTGTGTACTTAGCAGCCCAATGAGTAACTCACTGTGCTACCACGGCTCCGTCTCCTGGCTTGCAATTGCTGATTGCCAAAAGTTGATGAATTCTGTGAACCAGCTTTTATAGAGTTATTTAAAATGAAGCTATATAACAATGCAATTAAATTATTTAAAAATCAAAGGTAATACTCAACACCCATCATTTCCTAATTATTTACTGTTAGCTATGCTCTTTAGATTATTTACATTCCTGAATCTACACTTTGAAATCACTATGTAGTACTCTATTCACCTCTGCCACTGGGCTGGTTCTGACTCATACCCAAAGGTATGAATGTTTCTTAGTGTTTATGATGCTGTAAATCTTCATAGAAGTCTGCCTTATCTTTCTCCATCTGAGTCGTTTATGGGTTCAAGCCACTGATCTTTTGGTTAGTCCATTTTTTGGCCTGCTGTCCAATCAATTCTTTATGTGTATAATAATAATACTATACGTATAATTCTATAAAATGAATTACTATATAATTTGGTATCATACTGATCCCCTGAAATTGCTATAGTAGGAATATGTACCATGAACGTTGGCAAATTCTACAGTTGTGATTTTTATTTTCCCAGAGAACATATTGCCAAACATATCATATTGTATGTATCAATATTTGGCAATTTTAAGATAGAAACTTCTTCCATTTTTCAGTAAATACTTATGGCCAGGAATACTTAGCTACTGTTTCAATAAAGCCAAAAGGTGTTTTTTGGTGTTATTATCTACCTTTAGATCAGTCCAAGGGGCTTTGGTGGTGCAGTAGGGTATGTGTTGGGCTATTAACTGAAGTTGAAGCCCACCAGCTCCTCCATAGGAAAAAGATGAGACTTTTTGCTCTCTTAAGATTTCCAACTTTGGAAACCGATGGACATTTCTGCTCAGTGTTACAGGGTTTTTGTAAGTTAAAATCAGCTTAAAGGCAGTGAGTTTGATTTTTCTTGTTATATCAACTCTATTATGAATACTACCAAAGTCTCTTCATAGCTTGACCAATATATGTTTTAAGTGAAATATAAAATAAAAGAGCCACATAGTCTACAGTTTCTGTTTCCTGCATAAAATGAATATGTATGACCATTATTACTGGACCTAAGAAGCCAAGCAATAATTTCCTGAAGTTTCCCAGCAGCCTATAAGTTAATCAGTAGTACAAATACTATTAATAACAATATTTACATAAATTATGTGAAAGTAGCTGCTAACATCCGTTATGAACCCGTAATAAAAATAAAAAGTGCTATGTAATGAAACTCCTCTTTGATACTCTTGATATTTCATTGTGGTATGTATTAAGCATGATATGTGTAACCTAGAACTATGTATTTATATTTACTATTATAGAATACTGTATACTGCCCCTGCTTCCTCTGACCTATTTCTTATACTTTCTTGGAACACATCGGTAAGCACTTTCAGGAGACACACTCCAATCCAACAGCCTTTACTTACTACCACTTTACTTGACTCTACGGTTAAGTCCAGATTTATCTGAGTTAATCATGGAAATTCCATTCAAATGAATGTTTAGGGATGGACATGTGAGCAAAGAGATGTTTGACAAAATACTCTGCAGTAATTCTAGGAAAGATCTCTGTGATAAAGGAAAACACAGGAAGAAATTGTCTCTGCTAGATTTTTTCACTTGTTTGTAATAACAGGTTATAGTGTGGCCCCCAAGGTGATGATGCTGAACTTCTGGACTCATTTTTTGTAGATCTGCTAGTCTCTTGGAACCTTTGTATTACCTACAATAATAATTATCATCTATTTATTCTTAAGACTTTGTGTTATGTAGAGATGAAAACGTTACATTTGACAGAGGAATTACTCTGCAGGCAATTTAAGGGAATTCTTTTGACTTGCTACAGTGGCATAGATTCACTGTAAGCCAGAATTGACTTGATGGCAACAGGTATGGGCCAAAACCAAGGAGTTCTAAAGCACTTTTAAGTAAGTCATGTCGCTTATTGAGTGTAAAGGAATAAAGGATGGAAATAGTTGTACCAGAGTTTAATGAGGTTTACTGTGATGGAGTTAGGGGGTCACCTAGTAGGAAATGTTATCACTATGAAATTTTTTTCTATTAAATGGCTGGAACCCAACCAGATATCATCTGCAGGGAAGTCTAACGGCACAGAGAAAAGTGGAGAGAAGGTATGGATGGGGCAAATGGCCCAGCATGTACTTTTTTATTTCTGAAATTCTTTTTCTAGTTTTTAAAAAAATCTTTTTATTTATAACTCTTACAATGCTTATTATAACCATACAAAAATTGTATCAGGCATATTTGTACATATGTTGCCATCATTCTTTTGTAAATAATTACTTTATATCTTTATATTGAACCATTGGTCCCCCCGTGACCCTTGATAGATTATAAATTATTATTATTTTCATGTCACACTGACCACTGTCTCCCTTCCCCCATGATTTCCATTGTTCTTTCCCCTAGAGGGGTGTGTGTGGTTGTGTGTCGTTCCCCTTTCTTCCCCTTCTCCCCACCCTTCACGCTTCCCATCTGGCATATCACTTCCCATTCCTTGTCCTGGGTTGTGTGTGTCATGACGTCTTACCTCTTATCGACAGCTGCGTAAACGCTCCAGGCTAGTCCGAAGTGAGAGGCATTACTGGGGTCATGGTGTTGGGGGTGAGGAAGCCTCAAGGAACCAGAGGAATATTGTGTTTCATCAGTGCTTTATTGCACCCTGTTTGACTCATCCCTTTCCTGTGACCCCTCTGTGGGGGATGTTCCATTGTCTACAGATGGGCATTGGGTCTCTGATCCCTCTTATTCTTAACCATATGGTTTTGTTTGCTTGCTTGTTAAGGGTCTTCTGATGCCTGTGACCTGGTCCCGATGACACCTCATGATCACACAGGCTGGTGTGCTTCTTCCATGTGGGCTTGTTTCTCTGCTGGATGGCTGCTTGTTTCACTTCAAGCCTTTAAGACCCCAGACGCTATATCTTTTAATAGCCAGGCACCATCTGCCTTCTTCACATTTGCTTATGCATCCATTCTGTCTTCAGCGATTGTGTTGGGAGGGTGAGCATCTCAGACTGCCAGTTTGGTAGAACAATGTGTTCTTGTATTGTGGGAGGGTATGAGCAGAGGCCCAAAGTCCATCCACTACCTCAGTGTATTGCCATATAAATATATGTTCATAGACCAATACCTCTATTTTTATGGAATAATGTATTTACATAAGGACACTCCTATGCTTATACATCTATCCATAGCTTTGCTTCCTAGATCATTCCTCTGTATGCTTTTACCTTTCTTCTGCCCCACCATCATGCTTGCCTACTTCTACCCCCTAGTACTTCCTCTCAGCTAGATTGCAATAGCACTCCCAGGATCTCTAGATCCACCTCATTATTGTTTTTAAAAATATTTTATTAGGGGCACATATAACTATTATCACAATCCATACATACATCAATTGTGTAAAGCACATTTGTACACTCGTTGCCCTCATCATTCTCAAAACATTTGCTCTCAACTTAAGCCCCTGGCATCAGCTCCTCACTTTTCCCCCTTCCTCCCTGCTCCCCCCTCCCTCATGAAACCTTGATAATTTATAAATTATTATTTTGTCATATCTTACACTGTCCAACATCTCCCTTCACCCACTTTTCTCCGTTCCTCCCTGCTCCCCCCTCCCTCATGAAACCTTGATAATTTATAAATTATTATTTTGTCATATCTTACACTGTCCAACATCTCCCTTCACCCACTTTTCTGTTGTCCATCCCCAGGGAGGAGGTTA